ATTTGTTTCCCCATCAGAAGTAATAACCAGTGATACAGACACACGAACATATATATCTCACTATGCAGTATCTTCTTGGAATTCTACTAAAATCTTTCCATTTATCTCCTGCACATCTGAAAGCTGCAATTCACCTGCTACAGTGCAGAAAATCCAAATAGCTTTTACCCTTAGGAGAAAGTGACCTTATACGAGATGGTTTGTGTATCAGAAAGGCATTAGAAAAAAAGGAGAATACAGTAGGATCTTACTTCCATAATAAAAGCATAAATAAAATGTAAGTTCACTGTGGACTTCTAGTTCTGATAAATCAATGCAACTTTCTCCTAAAGTTTATTACAATTTCAAGTTAGGAATGGAGACTTTAGAAATGTCATTGAACTTCTCCATAGAAAATAAAATGGTGCAGTATCAGCACCCTACTCCTCAGGGTTCAGGTGTCTCTGACCCAAGGTGTAGCTCTCATACAACACAGCTGCAAAAACCTTGGTTAAATCTCCTGAAAAAAAATTGCTAAGAGAAAGAGGTGTGGAAAAAAACTGCAGTATGGATGCAAGTTGACATTTTCCTATGATCACAAAACTAAGCAATGTTAAGACTTTGTTACATGCCTGAAAAAACCCTCAACCTCTTCACAGGTCTAGCACAGGTACCTCCTCATGGTATAGCAATGAGAAGGAATAACTTAATTCCCAGTTACACTAAGATCCTTCCTCTCTTCTTGAGACAAAAAGGTCAAGAGATTGAAGTCTTGAAGGACAGAGAAAGGCAGCTGCCATTTCAACCTAGAGAAGCTCTTAGGAAGGAACTCATCTTTCCTAATAGTGATATAGAATGGGGTAGGGCATGGAAATCAGCAGTAAGCACCACTGAGTTTCAAGAAAGGCTAGGATATAGGCACTGACAAAGGGAGAAACTAACAAGAGAATTAATAACAAAAGAAGGTGGAAGACAGGGAAAACCAACTGCAAAACTGACTTATTATTCAGAACGCTGTACCCAAGAAAATACAGACTGCCCATTCTGTAGGACCTGGACAGTGCTCTGTGTCATGGGGCAGAATGTCAGTGGTGGCAGTGAGTACTGTCCAGCATACCTGGGCACACTGAATTTAAATGCGGGGTTCAGGACAGCTCCTGGTCTGTGCCATCTGCCCAGAGATACTTCTGCTTGGTGCAACCTGATACAGGTCTGAACTGATCAGAGGGAAGAGGATACTCATTCCATCAGTGTATTCTGATACATGTAGATTTTTTTTCACAATGCCAGTAGATGCCAATGGGCAGCACAGAACTAGTGAAATTATTTTGACACCTTGGAAGATTAACCAGCTGAATGTAAAGGAATGAGCAAATAAAGAAAAACAAAGATTATTCTTTATATAGAGAGGGGATTTAAAGATTTCCTCTGCTCTGTTCTTCCAGATTGTAACAAGCCTTCTAGGAGTACCAGACGTTTTACAACAAACCTGCAGCAGTGTTTTAAGAGCTCAGTTGTACTGGGAGTAACAGCTTTCCTCCTGACAAGCTCAGGTAACGGGAAAGAAGAGACAGCAAAATCAACTATGTTAATTAAAACATTCATGTTACTTCATTGTATGAAAATTATTGGCTAAATTGACAGTGATTGTTTTTGCAAATACTCCAGGGCAGTAATTGTGTCTTAGCACAAAGAAGTAGGGATCTTACTGTTAAAAAAACTCCACAGTTTGGGGATAATTCATCAGAGGATTCTTTTATTTATTTTTTTAAATTTCCTTAAATTACAATAGAGTTTTCTGGTTCAGTAAAGGAAAATATGCTAATTTTCAGAAATTATGCTAAATGTCACAGTGGAAAAAAAAAAAAATATGAGAAAAAGAAAATAACTTTCTCTAGGGGGCCTTAACAATCCCCTCCCTTAGCAGGAGGTAGGATTTTATTTTAACTTTTCTACCTAAGGTAGCTGTCTTTAAGACACATCTGTTCACCAGCCGATTCAAGGAACAACATAAATTAGAAATAACATCTCCTAATAGAGGGGCTATAGCAAAAAAAAAAAAAAAAAAAAAAAAAAACAGGAGCTCATTTAGCAGTTCTGCATTATTCAGGTGTGTTTTAACTGGGGCACTGTTTCATCACCAGAATGCAGAGACAGAGACCAGATCAAGAACTGTACCATGCAACAAATGTCAAAGACAAAGCATGCTGGAATACCCTGAAATAAATATATTTACCCACAGAAATACTGATATGGATAAGAAGAAACTACAAAACACAGTCTATCTTACTAATCCTTCAACATATCTACTTCAGTTTCACAATGGACAGTTCCACTGGTTTGGGGTCAGATTGGGTCTCAGGAACAATAGGGATAGGACAAGGGGAAGAGCTTCAAACTGGAAATAGGTTTAGATCAGATATTAGGAAGAAATTCTTTACTGTGAGGGTGGTGAGGAGCTGGAACAGGTTGCCCAGAGAAGTTGTGGATGCCCCATCCCTGGCATTCTGTACTCTAGGTTCACAGCACTGCATGAGATGGTTGTGGGAAGAGGGAGCTTTCAGCACAGAACAGTGATTTAAATTCCAGACAACCTGGGAAGGCCTCCATTTCACACTTTAAATGAGAAAACCCCTTCTTTCTAAGCTTGACTGAAATGTGGTTCATCATGGCCAAAATCCATTAAACTACTTCAAACCTGAACTCCACATTCTAGGTTAAATGTAATCCAGACCTCAATGCAATTCTTTGGCTTTCTGAGAATTACACTGAAAGAGCACTTACAATATATTTCATCAAAAGGAAACAAAGCACTTTCTGAAGTGGCAACTGCTCCTGTGAGTGTGATGCAACCAAGTCTGGAGAGATTTTTTTTCTTTGCATTCTAATTATAGACGCTTTTATTTAGGAAAGCTACAGATAAGACTTGTCTATTACAAGCCTCTGAAATCTCATTTTGTTAAAATGAAAACATATTTCAAATGCTTTGGAGAACTATTAAGATTATTGAATGCCTAGCATACTGCTTCAAGTCTCCAAGTGGTTCACTATCTTCCCCTAGGGAACAGGCAAGCAGCATGCAATTATCACAGTAATTAAAAAGGTGCAATGATTCTTCTCTTAAAGACTCCTGTTTTATTAATTCTATGGTATGCTTTGGAGACTGGCATTATTTTACTCCTACCCAGCTTAATTATACCGTCATTAGTTTATCAGCATCTCTTTTTAAACCCTTGGGCCAGTTATTAGCATGTCACTTGCTAACAGTTAACCAATAACCACTACACCTTCAAAGCAGGGTCTTCTGCTATTAAAAAAAACCAATTTGTAGAGACAGATTTAATATCATCATTCAATTTACATTTTCAGTCATTTAACTTTCTGCTTTTAATTTAAGAATGTTACTGTTTAGCTTAATGAAAACATAAATAATTCGGATGTATTACAAGACACTACCAGGTAATAAAACACTTCCAGTACACACTGGTTTATGAAACTGAATGCCTGTTTTAATACTCAACATTGTGTACCACTGAGAAAACAGAAAGCATATGATATTCTTAAATACAACTAAAATTGTGGATATCACTCTCTAGTAAGTCTGGCTGAGGTGGAGTTAAATTTCCTTCACAGCAGCCTGTTTGGCACTGCATTTTGGATTTGTGACTAACCCAAGGTTGGTAACACAACACAGCCCTACAGGACAGGCTCACTTACACAGCACCCAGTACTGCATTAGCTGATCATACAAGCAGATGAAAAAACTATTAGAAAAACTGTTTAATTTTAAAAGAACTGAAATAACAGTGTATTAAATATGTACGTACCTTGTCTAGACAGACATTTACATTATTATGAAGAGTACAGTGACCCCGAAACCCTCCTGAAGGGAACTATACTTCATTTTTATGCTCCACTTTTGACTAAGCTGAAGTTATCTTAGCCTATCTTGTAAATACAGAATACTTAATTTTATAATTTTGCTGCACTGCTTTTGGGCACTTTTCAATAAATACTTATTTCCAGTAATGAGAGAAAGAAAAAATACCAAAAATAACATCAAAGAGTTAGTACTTGTATAAGTTTGCATCTTCAGAACATACAAGTGGGATTCTGATAGCAACTGTATTTCATTTTGTGTTTGACATCACACCAATTCAATTCAACTGAAATGACATTTACTCACTGACAGGTGACTTTACAAAAAATATATGCAATGGAAACATATTTTTTCTGTTGAAGTACATAATTTTTTGTGTTAGAAAGGCAAGTAAGACTAAGTAATTCCTTAAAAGCCCAGGAACAATGAGCTAACCTTGTAACCTTGTTACTCCCATTTCCTCTAGCCACACTCCTGCCTATCTTCCACCACCTTTACAACAGCAAAGAGATGATTCAAAATATTGGGGGAAAATAGTAATGACCAAAGAAAATCCAGGTCACAGTATCCTCTATTATTTTCTGAGCGGCTAAATCCCGAACTAATATCACTGCCAGTCTTACTGAAAATTATTATACAATTGTTTCTGTATAATAGGCGAATTTTGTATGCTATTACAATCACAGGTCAACTCTATTAATTATAACATCCAAAACAGGGGCCAAGATTGCTACAATGCATCAAAAATTGCACTATCTCATTTAGTAAAGAGACATGCTGTCAGTCACTCAAGAAAGCAGCCCTTTGCTAAACCACATCTGCTAATTGAGACTCAACAGTGAATGCTTTTGCTGTTACCCAGGATCTCTTTCCACTTTATCTACAAGTTGGATACAACTGACATTGAAAAAAAAAAAAGCATGCACAGTCATTATTTCATCTACAGTCTACAGTGGCACAGAAAGTTGTTTTCAAGGTCACTGTAGCTGGAAAATGCAAATTTATTATACTTAAAATTATTCAGTCTTAATTCCTGCAACCTGCTGGTTTAAGACAGACAGTAAAAACTGCCAATGAATTAACTTATGTCTTCAGCCCTAGAAAGATGCTTACAACTTTCCTATCGCGTTGGAGTACTCACCAGCACACTTAGTTCTTGTTTTCAGAGCTGGGCCAGGAGATCCTGTTCCTCCTTCACCTGGTCTTGTAAGTAACACACTGATTTCATATTCTGTATCAGGATCCAGGTGCCCAATCTTATAGCTTGTGGAGTCCACGGGTTGTATGTCGTACCAGCTCCCACTTGAAGTTCGATACTCAACTTCTCTTTGGATAATAGGTCCGTCCCCATTGATGGAATTGGCATTCAGCTGTATCCAGAGGTAGGTTGCACCAACTGAGGACAGCTGAGGTGGAGCAATAGGAACTGGTGGCTCTGAAAAACAATACGGTATGATAAGAATCTATGATTACACTTCCATTTTTTCTACTTCTAAAACATTCAAATAAGCAAGGGTTTTGTACTACATTAGAGTTAAGACTGCATAAAAACATGGATATGAAGAAATCACCACTACAACTGACTTATTTTCATTAACTGCAATATTCAGATTCTTTTGCTTATGCAGTTGGAGATTTTAACCTGAAGCTTTTGGTTTAAACTTCATAACTTTGAATCAGGTGCAAATGAAATTCTATTCATTCAACATTCCATAGCAACTCCCAGTTTAAAAAGAAAGATAATCTCAGGTTTTCTCATAAAAATACACTTCATTCTGGATATTAATAATAATCCTACTCAAAACTAATGTTTTAAAGCTAACATTTATGTTGTAGCCTATGCTTACACATAATGAGAACAGAAATTTCTGCACAGAAACAAAATGAATTTTTTATTAATTATTTTTCATGTACTTAACTACTCAGCCTTCATATTTTCAGACTTCTGCCTAAGCAGAGTAAATACAGTAATTTTTCAAGTTCTATATTTTGGTTAAATTAAAGCTGGGGGATTTCTTGAGTTTTTACTAGAGGTCTGTTTCTACTTCATGTAATGGCTGTTTTCACTAACTACCACATGGAAATGGTACTCTGTATCACAGAACAAGTATGCAAGTGATAACCCGATAGTTTGGATTCTGAAGATTTCAAAACCGACCAAAGTTTTAAACTCACTTTAATTTACTCTGTGATAGGCACCTTATTTTAAATTAGACTGCAGAAACAATTTTCAGACATCATATTTTTTTAAAGGTAAATAACAAGTTCTTATCTTCCCTACTGGTTTAATTACTCTGCTATTTCATGCATCATATCAGCCAAAAATTTGCCTTCCTTTTGGTTAAATATAGTAAAGTAGAATGAAATCAAGCCACTGTAATAAGGCACTATTTGATCCAATATTCTATTCTATTCTTAACATATCTATCAGCAAACACTGCCATCTTCTTAAGGCTACACAGAACATGCAACGAACACAGGACATCTGTCTTCCCTAAGCCTTAGATTCAGATTTATCCTCTTCTGATAACCATTTCCCTCTGTGTTGAGCTACATGTAGTCAAACACACAAGAAGTTTAATTTATGTATTTTATAATTTTGTCATGCTCTTCAAAGTCACAGTTAAAGCAAAGAACATAAAAGAATGAAGCAGAAGGGAGAAAGGATCTCCAGGAAACATTCAGTACTTCCTGAGAAATAGCAGAATTGCTATTTTGACAAGCACATAATTATCCTACAGTATTCTACCTTTTTTCATTTATAGAAAGAGCAACTAAGTACACTGAAGATTAGCTGTGCCTCAGATTGATAGTGTTTCTAATTAGCAGGGCACACTTGTATGCAAGCTTCGATCTGTGCAATCTGTTAGCAATTGCTGAAATACAACACTACAAACCAGCAAACACAGGCATCATCACTGTGTGTTTTCATCTTAACAAAACTAAGTGATTACTATCATGAAGAACACAATACAAAGGGCAACAAACCAAACATCTCCAAAGATATCTATTAAGCATTACTAATTGGAATAGACATAATATTAGCTATAAAAATATTGTGGCAGATTCCAGGACACAAAGAATATTGTTTAGATATTCAAATCAGCAGTGAAAGCATTGTTTTATGTCAATAGCAATATATGGCAAACTGATGTAATTGCTGAATTAGAAACATACTGTAGTTTTATTGAAACTATTCTCCCTAAAGTATATAAACTATGGCTTCATACAGTGATAGTATGTCTGGAAACAGTTCTGACTTGCCTCAAAATGATTTAGCATCAATTTAAATCATTAGGCTGTTTTGTGAACCAAGACATGAAATGGAACTTTTATAGAGGATCCTAAGGCATTTACTTAGCCATGCTGAAAGAACAGTTAATTACTTTCAAGTTTCAAATGCTACTAAGGGCTGTTGAAGTGCCATTCAAAATGCAAACTCAGGAGTTAGGTCACTAAGGTTAGTGGTTACACCAATTCATTCCAAGTATTACAAGTACTTGAAACAGACAGTATTTTGTTGTGTTTTTATACCTCAGGGCATGTTTTTCATTTGTCAGGAACCACAATGAAAAGGTTAATTCAAGTTATATTATTTCAGCAAAGCCTGCATCTACTGCAATTTCATACTATTAATATGGTTTAATACTAAAAGTTACCCTCTTACCAGAGATTGAGACTACCTAAGATCAACCTTTCATTACAAATATTATGCTCATATTAAGTGACTGGTTAAAAATATGAGACTCAATTAAGCAGATCCTCTAATACAAACACTGTATATCCAGATAGAATTAACTGATTTTGAGACTGAAGTCTGAAATGTATTTTTCTGTCTTGTTATTTTCGTTTTTCTTTTTACAGAATGATTTAATATTTTTAGGATGCTGAGGAGTTTGAATCACTTAGGTAAGTACCACACTGCAGCACAACTGTCCTTCACTAAAAGCAGTTTTACTGGCAGCCACTGAGGTCGGCTCAATTAAATATCATGCAAATTAATACCTTTATTAAACAGTACAATAGACTTGATAGTTCAGTGCTGAGTATGTTCAAGGAGGAATTTTCAACTGACAGCAGAAACAAGTTTGTAGCAGTAGCTATTTAGTACAATGACTTAGCTTAAAGAGGAGTTCTTCCTTGCGGATCTCCTCCTGAAGCAAGTAGACAAATTTATTCAGTGCTGTGAAGCCCTTTTAAACATAGGTTTTAAAATAGAATATTAACTGAAAAAAAAGAAGGTAAGTGGATTCATATTTCAAATTTTATGCCTTTTTAGACATCAAACCTCCTTTTGAATTCTCTGACAAATGACAATGGGCAAAATCCCTTAGGGAAAGGCAACAGTGGCTACCTACAAAGCCAGAGGTCTGTAGGGGAGAGAAAGCTTTAAGCAGGTGCTCTCAGGTCACTCTAAATAAATAGATCATTTATATTAAATTTGAGAAAAAGACACACTTTATGATAAGGAGCAGCCCTTCTCTTACACAGATAATAAAAATAAATGTAGCCATACATGAATGTAAACGATTTATTCTTTTTTATTAATTGAAAACATACTTGAAACTCCAACTCCTTCATTTAAACTGCTTTGTTCTTAAATTACACAGATTTTCCAAACATTTTCTACAACATCTTAACATCTTTTACTCTGCAGTTCTTTTCAAATTTTAATTGGGAGGGGAAGGCATCACACTGAGATGCCACTGGAGATAATGTAAATCTCTAAGATTTAAGTGAGTTAAAGAAGACAAAAATAGACATTTCTTCTCTGCAGCTCAGAAGCACTATCTTGAAAAATGACAAAATCTACTTCCTAACTTTTTGGAAATGCATGAATGTGTATATGTTTACTTTCTCCTCTTTTTTCCCCTCTACAAAATCACAGAATCATGTTGGAAAACACCTCCAAGATAATGCAACTCAACCTTTGACCAAACACCAGGATACCAACTAATTCATGGCACTAAGTGAATGTTTTCAGGGATGGGGGACCCCATTACCTCCCTGGGCAGCCTGTTCCAATGCTTAACCACCCTTTCAAGGAAAGAATTCTTCCTGATGTCCAACCCGCATGTCCCTGGCAAAGCTGGAGTCCATGAGGTCTTGTCCTATTCCTTGCTGCCTGGGAGAAGAGGCTGACCCCCACCTGGCTACGACCTCCTGTCAGGCAGCTGTAGAGAGCAATGATGTCCCCTCATCTGGATATGCAGCTTCTTGTTCTTGCACTCCTCACTATCCACATTGTTAACCCATCACCATTTTACTCTCAAAATACAAGGATTCAGCAAGATGGAGGACTGTATACTAAAAGCACACAAATGGTAAGTTCATAGGTCTTGATCCCTGTGCCTGGATCCAGCCTGCCCCAGAGGAGCTCAGATCTCCATTTGCAATTAAATTCGGTACACTGCATTTAGAATTTTGGGGGAATGTGAAAGATGAACTCAACCAAGTCCCAGGGTCTTGCTGGGTTTTATTCAGCAGTTTGTTAACTAACTATATTTGAGAACATATTTTCACAGGAAGAGAAAAATAGCATTTTTGACATAACTAATACCCTTCTGAAAAAATATTACTGCTTCAAAGTCCAGAGCCTTCAGCACTTTCCTATGGCAAGTTCACTAAGATGGAGGAACTGTATCAGCTCTTCTATCTGGAGGTTTTCTCAACAACTCCAGGCTGAGGCACACACACACACTGAAAAATACAAGTCTCTAGTCAGTTTGCCAGAAAATGAGCATTATGAAACTGGACTTCATCATAGGAATTGTTGGGCAACAATAAAAATAAGTCCTAATGCCAGCACTGTTGGTAAAAAACGGGGTACAGACAGTGATGGCTCCAGCATGAAAGGCTAGTTGGAGAGAGAAAGAAACAGATGCCAAGTATCTATGTATATTTAATGCATGAGAATAATTGATACCACAGGAAAGTAATCACTGATATTTTCTTACTATGTCTTGATGTCAAAATGACTTTGCCCTCCAGAATTAAATCTTTGCTCTAGAGGTCCTGAAGAGGTTTGTTTCTGTTCCCAGTGTTAAAAAAAATTTCCATTTGGAAAATGCAGACATTTAAGCTGCCAGCATTACAGATGGCTACCTTTCTTTGCCCTTGCTTAAAAACCTAGCCAAACTCCTTTTAACCAATTTGACACCTAGGTTTACCTTGTTTGAACTCAATAAGCAGTCTGAACTCTGTAATAATCTGATGTCTGCTAGACAGGCTCATTCTGTTCTCCTAAATCTAATCTGTGTTGGATCTGCCCACTATTAGGAAACTTCAAACTAGGGACTGTATGTAGAACTCTAATTTACTTCACCAAACGCATTTAATCAATTCCACCCAACTGTTTTCCTTTTGCTCAATGTTTGATTACTTTTATGTCATCTATTAGATACGAGCTGATATTTTTTACAATAAGTGGGTTATCTGATAAGGCCAATTTCATGCCTCCCGTTAGATGAAGTGACATTTCAATCCAATTCTCTGACAAACTTAGATGAGGATACTGTGCCGTTTGAGCACATACAATGACAAGGCACTTGTCTTTTCAGCCTTTCTTATCAGAACAAACACTCAGGTAAATTGAAAACCTCCCCTTCAGGATTTATTTAAATAGAACAATCAATACTTTATTACACCATCCTCTGAAAGGCATGTAAGTTACCACAAACAAGTTTTCAAATAAAACCCCTTCTTTCCTCCCCGCTTTTTGAGGCCAGACTAATTGTTCACTGACAAGCTTTTTCTCATTAACTAGACAATATTCGTGTTTACTATTATTTAATAACAGAAGAGACAGCTCTTTAATTGCGATTCCCCCCACCCCCATACTAATGAAACCTTGGTGTAACATGCTCACTCAGGTGAAAAAAGAAGACAAAAAAAAAAAAAATGAGAGTAAGAACACCTGGCAGTTTCTTACATGTCTTTCATTTTCAAGATGTCATTCCTATTCCTTTGTGATTGCAGGTTTGATTTGCAGCACCTGAAACCAGCAGCCCTTCTGCTCTTTTCAAGAGTTCTGGTACCTCACCTCCAGTGCCACACAGCATCTTGGCACAACAGCACTACAAACCTTAAAGTTCTTTACACACGTAATTGGAATCTACTTAGAGTAAGCTCCTATTTAGTGAAACTTTGTCTACAGTGAAGTGGAATGAATGTTGTACAAAGTTCTAACCCACTCTACTGTGCAAACATCTTGACTTAAAAGCAAGTATATTTTGAAAAAAGCCCTATTCCAGAGCAGAACTTTTTGCAGCTTGAGTTACAGGTTCAGTTAACCAGATGAAACAGACCATGATAAATGTGAAGAACTGATTTTCTTCAACTTAGGATGCTCTGTTTGACTCTTCTTCTCCTGTCATTCTAGCCATGTAATTCAGAGGAAATTCTTCTTAAGGCAGTTTAGTTACACAAGTGTAAATGAGAAGAGAATTAAATTCATTGTTTGTAACAAAGAGGGGGAAGTAATTACACCACTGTTTTTACATATACCATTATTAAGCCATCAGCAATTCACAAGTATACTAAACATTACATGCAGTGTAGGCATATGTACATCCTTCATGATTTACAGATAGTAATGGATTAAAAAATATATAGCTGCACTGAAATCAACCTGTTATCTTTGAAGTCTGCTAACTGATATTGCAGAACACCTGGTAAAAAATAGGAAATACCATTTCTTAATGATATGTCATCAATAAGAAAGGTACTTATTCATTAGCCCCTAATGCTGCTGTTCAGTACAGTCATCTAATGTTTTACAGCACAATGCTTAAAATGGGTCTTTTTAGGTCAGGAAGGAATGACCTGCAGGTGGTATCATAAAAGCTCCAACACAGGCAATGGGGATTACCATAATTACTTTGCCACTCTACAAGCAGTTAATGGGATTACACCCTAAGGCTATCCACTTGCTCACAGTGCCCAGTGCAAATTTTCTGAAAGAATCTGGGTAAGCACAAATGCTTTAATGATACGCTTCATAATTTCATCTATTGTACCTCAAAAGAAGCACTAACAAATTAAAACATCCTGAATCTAAGAGACTGAGAAGAAATTAACTCCTTTGGCTTACTGCACCTCTCCTCACTGATGCAGTAACTCCTCCCTCTACCTCCTTCAGGCAGTGCTCATTCCTCTTTGTTTTCACTGGTGTTAAGTCTGAAAGATGCTTCATCATTCCTACGGGGGTTATAGTCCACGCTTCTTTTCTTTGCTGACTTTCTTATGTATCTATTTTTGGCCATCTACTTTAAATTTTGGCCATTTACTTTTTCTTTTCATGCTTGGACTGAAATAACCCATTTTTTCTGCCACACCTTAAAATTATATTCTCATCTCACTCACTCTGTTTCTTTTTTTATCTGTCCATTCAAATAGCTCTTATGTTTTCAAGCTACAATTTGTTTTGTCTTGTTATCTTCATACTCTGGTTATTCCAAACATCCTTCTTTTGTCTGTTTCTCTTCATTTTCTCTACAACACATTCACTAAAACCCTATTCTTGCTTTTGGAAAATGGTTTATTCTTCATTATGGCTTTCTTGCATCCTCTTCTACTGGTGACAGACTATTCCCTATTCTACTTACATCTAAGTGTTCCTCACAGTTTTTAAAAACATCCCTCCATATACTACAGTATATGTATTTTATGTGTTCACTGAATTGTAAATCTTGCATATTTTGAAGTAAGTGTATTTTTATAATGCAATCTCCACAAAGGGGACAAGTAGCCATTATTATGTTCATACTTTAAATAAAAGCTTGTATAGGTCTAAACAGTGCATTTTTGGGAAATATTTAAAACAGCAATCACCAAGTATCTAGTTAATTAGCCCTGGTTTCTTGTATCACTCCCTTGTTACAGCTGGCTAGACTCTTAAGATTGACATAAATAAAATCTATTTACTGAACCTCTTATCAAGTTTACAGGCTATGGGTGACATTCTTGCTGCATTAGCAACTGCAAGCCCTGATTCCATACAGGGAGCATGCAAACACTGATTTCTATGGTGAAGTACCTTTGACTATCAGTTCTGCATAGTTGGATACACCAACTCCTCCTTCCGTCCGGATCATGCAGCGATAGTTGCCAGCGTCCCGCTTCGTGGCATTCACCACACTAAAAAGAGCCACAAATCGTCGGGCATTGAACACTTTTATGTCCTTCAAAGGTGCATCCCGTACATAAATACCCTGGGCAAAGAAAATAAAATAAAGAGTATTATTACTCATATTAAAAAAAAAAAAATACTGACAGCCCATTTTACTTCTCTCAAGTTCCCCAGGAGAAGAGGAAAGATAAAAGCAGATAAAAAGAAAAAAGTCTGCATGTTACTTTTACAGGTGTGACAGTGAGACTTTTCTGCCTTCCCATGCGAGTTAAACCATTCATCATGAGTGGACAACCATTAATCTGTAACAGCTGCTTTCAACTCTTTATAGATTAAGTAATAAAAAGATTTGAGAACAATGTAACATTTACTTGCTTAGCTTGTTTTACACAAATACTTGAATCTACCTATTTTAAAAAAAAATGAAGCCTAGGATAGTCAGTCCGTGCTTTCTCTTCCCTTCTGGCATCTGCTGCCTAGGATATGCATTTTCCAGGGAGACATCAGTGGATGGTTCTCATAGCAGCACCCACCCAAGGGGCTATCAGCGACTCTGCTAGAAGAGACTAGGCAGGGATTTACCAGGTAAATGACCTAAAGCTCTCTCCACCTCTCATTTCCTCAGCATGGCACTAGAAAATGGGAATTTTCTATTTCAGTGCAGTGTCTTGCTGTCAACACATTACAGGTATGGCACAAGAAAATGAGCCCTGTAACAGCTAAGGAGCACAAGGAGTGAAAAACGGAGGGGGGAAGACAGAAGAAGCCAGAGATGAGAACTTTCCACGTCCTTCAAAACAAAGATAATGGCATAGAGACTTGGCTCTCAAATCCTCATGAAAACTCATGCTCCACCTGACCATGAAATAGGATATGTGCACTATGAATGCTCAAAAACCCACAGAAAATGTGTAATGATTGAATTATGAAAGCTGGATGGAAAAAAAATCATCAAAGCGACCACCAAAATGTACTGACAACATTAACCCAAACAAGCAAACAAAAAAGAAGCACTTTTCATACAATGATATGTATTCCAACAAACCAAAACATGAAGAGAAACTGGCAAACCCCAACTAACACTTCACAAAAATCACTGTCTCCAGGAAGGCCCATACACTATCAGGTGCTAGATGATAACAACAGGTATGTTTAGTGTGTTTCTCTGACTTGAGGAGCTTCAAGCAGGTCAAGGGTCCTGCACTATCAAGCTTCTATAAAACAACATATCTGGTGATGTCTGGTTTTCTGCCTGGGAAATCTGTAGTTTCTCCAGCAGAATTTAAGATATATAGAGTATACTGATCTCATTTTACTGTGATCTTATTTGCCACTAAATTGGCAATATCCTTGAAATACAAGTTATAACAAAAGAGTTTTAAACAACAGTCACACAAAATTAAACTCATCCACAAATCACAAAACCAAGTCGAAGTTAATCATGCTGTTAGAAAGAAGAAGCAACATAATTAACAACACATACTGATTCTAATGCACAGTAATGTAGAGTTATTTCCTCTTCAAATGATAACATGGGTGATGTAAAGCTTATGTGAAAGAAAAAAAAAAGTTTTTAAGGTGTCCAGAGAAGAATGGGCTATCATGCCTTAAAAATTACTCAGTTGTAAATTATTGAGAATTACTTCAGATAATTGACAGTTCCTTAAGATTCCTCGAAGTTTGAGCTGCTGGTAAAGCAGATTCTGTGCCACGGCATCACAGTTACCAGAACCTAAACTTGGAAAGAAACATTTCAAACTATTATTTCAAAACTACTATTTTTACTAGTGTTGCCACTGTAAAGTCCTTCTAGCAAGAACGGCTGCCGATAACAGGAGATAAGCTGTGGGTGAATTAGGAGTTTGGAGAATGATTATTGCTTAAAAGCTACATTATTTCTTGCCTAATACAATAACTTAATTAATCCTGATAAGCAAAACTGCTGATCAATCACAAGCCATAAACCAGCTTTAAAGTATGTTACTACAGCTTTCAGGCTCTTGAAAGATCCTGTACATACCCAAATCTTGTGGCTACATTACACCCATCCATACCACTAGTCCCATTTTCCTAGCTGCAACATCAGGAAGGCATGCAACATGCATGCAGGTTATTTTATCCTGGCAAGAAATAGGTAAATTATTCCCTAGGGAGGAACCTACTGCCACACACTGATTAATTCTAGCACCTAAACTAGCTCAGCTCATTTAGAGTGTGAACATGCTCCTCTGCTCTACAGCCTTCACAGTACATCCTCCCATCCACGTGGGGAACCTGCATCCACAATTTACCAGGACTCTTACAAGTTACCATACAACTGAGTAACTGTGTAAATATTTTAAAATATCAATTTCTTGCTGTTCCCACAGAGAAGGAGATGAAGGGAAAGGACTAGGAAATGACACTGTAATTTCTGCCTTAATCTGCAGTTCATGAAGAGGGGCAATCCTGCCAAGATATGATGCATACACAGACCCTGCTGGCCCTACAGAGAACTGTCTCCTACCACACCATCCCCTCAGACCTCCAAGTGGCTGGTAGAAATCCTGAACTTCACAGTCTGGGTGTTCACAGAAACTGCCAGCAGTCCTTGAAGGCAACTGCTCCAATACCCAGCCCCATAGGACGTATTTCCCATCCTTTTCATGCATATCTAGAATGGAATTGGAACTAATCAATGCACTGTAGCAGTAACAATAAATTACTATTTCACTTGGGTCCCATAATCTTTTTCACCTTCTGCTGATTCTCAAATATACTAATCTCACCTGATTTTGAGTGTTTTAACTGCTGTTCTACAACAGAAAATCTTAGTTTGATCAAATAATTGACTTACATGGCTTTGTGACACATGCCATTGATTCACATACCAATAATTTTAACCGAAAAAATAGAAGCCAAATCAGACTTCAGGAGACGCACATCACCTGCTCATATGAAAAAAATAGAGAAACCTTAAACATAACTCAGCTTGGCTCCACAGAGGATTTGAGCATATTTTCCCCTCTTATCAAAATCCAGGTGAGAAAAGGTTATTAATGGTGGCTTCAAAATTAATGAAAGAGTTCTGGAATAAAAAGCCATTATTACTATAACAAAGCTGTAAATATATGGGAGATTATTATCCATAAAGATTATCTTGACTGACTTCTCTTGAACATTACAAACTCATGGAGGCAAAGTATAGAGTGTCTAATTATATGTTAGAACTCAAATAATCCCACAGAATCACTACCATGACATTTTTTACTAGAACTCAAAGGAGAAGAAATAAGCCAAATTTTTTTCTTTAGTCTCTTTGGGGAGAAATACTTTCAAGGAAAATATAGTGTCTATAACAGACAAAGACAAAGAAACATAATTGCTTTACGTTCCACAAGAAAAAATACAGCCCAAGAGAGCAAGTTTTCCCTCCCTTCTGGGATGACAGCAAATGAGTAGGAGAACTGCCTAATTGATTTAAGCCTAAGCATAAATGAACAGTAATGAAGGTAATGAATTCAAGTATAAAAAAAGTTCAATCTATAGGCATTGAAGAAGACAGTTACAAAGGCTGTAAAGAAAATATTTAAAAAAAATAATCTCACACCTACAACTTCTCCCAAACTCTTATTTCAGCAGTGGACAAATGGCAGAAGAGTATTTTTAGTCAGAAAAAATGCTATTTACAATTTGATCTACGACTACAGAATCATTTCTGTTGTAACTGTACCCACATACCCAGCTTCACTTCCTTTATTTGTGATTCATGTTTTGTTTTACTGCAATGACTTCAGTAAGCTACCCAGGTATGGTATCTTGTTTCCAGTATGTAACAGGCCCATTTTAGCTCACTGTATGATAAATTACAAGTTCTCAGTGCTGCGTGCCAACAGAACGGCTAAAAATAACTTATCAAATTAAAATTTGTTTATTAAGCATGCTAGTACATGCGGCTACAATTTCTGTAGAAAGAACTATTTTTAGTAGCCTTCTGAAAAGTAAGTTTTCATTCCTCACTAGTACAACAATCTGAACTCCCACAAAGAAGAGTTCACTTATGATATACCGTTTTACTAGCTATAGTAATTAAAACTTTAATCACAGGTTTTTTGAGATTCTGAAATTTACTAGTAGGTCTTAAGAACTCTCATTTTTTACATGAAAGCCTGAGTCTTCCCAAATACATGATATTTTATTGAAAAATAAACCAAAAAAAATGACAAGTCCGTAATTTACTAACCCCATTCCAGAAAGGAGGATAAAATTAATGATTTACAATATAACACTACGGTACTGGTATTAAGACCTACCAGCACATGTTGTTGGAGCAAATTTGTAGCATCCTGTGTTCTGGGTGGGGCTTTTTTTTTGTTTCATTTGTTTGTTTTTTTATAACATAATTTAAAAATAAATACACTGTTCTTTTAACTTTCTTTACTTTAGCTCTGCTTTGCCAGACAAAAGTCTGAGGCTTTACTACTGATTAGGGCTGTTAGCTTTTCCTGCCTCTGGGAGTTGGAGAGCTGTGTGAACAGGATACTTCATTCTTTACAAAGAGGAAGCTGCCATAATCATTTAATGTTAGACTTGCTTGGACTACAAAGGCCACATCCCCTGGGCAGAGCTATCTCACCTCCTTAGAACACAAGAACTATGGTCACAGAATAAACACTGAGATCCAGAAATGAAAGTGACTGATTCCACTGGCTGCAGAGGAACCTGTGTATTTTCAAATGCTCAGAGAAAGCTTTCAAAAAATACCAAATACATATATGAAAAAAATGCTACTTAAGCCAACTAATGAAAATACGTAACTGGTAAGTCATTTGTAAGAATAAATTTTCTATTAAACAACAAGTTATTTAATATATAGGGATATAAAAATAAGCTTAATTTAACTTCAGGATTTACACAGCTTGAAAACCCCATATTCCTAGTACCAACATATTAAATGCATATACAGACAGCTAAAAGCACTTTATAATGCACGTTATTTTTCCATTTTAGGCAAGTTAGAATGAAAAGAAATACGTTATAGTTATTTAAATCACACTTACTGGCTGTTCTAGGCAATGAACTGACTCTAAGTCTTTTAAATGA